TAGAAATTCTGACGGGATTTCCGACGAACTTTTATGCCGTCCGAGACGTATCATCGCCGTGGACGCGGGCAATCTGTATGGAACAGATTCATGAAGCTTTTAATCCCGTCCGCGCGACCTAACGAACCATTATGACTCGCGTTCCTTCCTGCGAGAATTCTGCGGCAGCAACAATATGCATTGTTAATGCTTATCATAGTCTCTTTCATGCATTCCAGCGGCATCGAATAAAACAACGCCGCGGCGACGTTGGTATTCCAAAAGACCGCCGGCCATCATCGCGAGGTTCGCAGGAATTATCCTAATACTCCGCGTTCAATTCGCATACTCGCGAAACTGCATTAGACCGTTTTTCATTTCTCGTCGTTCGATTTTTTGTTGAAGATTGTCTTCGTTAATTGTAAGATGCAGAAAATAGCGTGTCAATTACTGTGCCACCCTCTCGTTACTGTGCACTCACAATAATTTTCGTAATATTTCAAAACAAATAAATATATTATTTATTTAAACATATAATTGAAATGTTTTAAGTAGTGCGACATAAATGAAGCCATTTAATTCGTCGAATACCTCGAACGTTACTTTAATGGACACAGTAATTGACACGCTTACTCTAAGTAGACATTTAAATCTCTTTTTTCTTAATTTAATTTATTTAATGTCGCATCTACTTAATAGTAATTAGCGACCATTACTATTAACATGGGATAACATTTATAGTGTAATATATACAATATATTATTGTAGTGTAATATATACAATAGTTNAAAACGCGTAACTCGCGACGCTTCTGCTTCACGACCTGTATCTGCATAACTGCATCGAATTTCTTGCCGAAACTTCGGGAGCGCAGTTTGTACGTGCGCCGCTTCCCGTTAAGATCGAAAACAGTCAATTTGTCAAAGTAGGTGATCCGGATTCCCATGTTAGGCGAACGTCGGATTTTTAACAGAAACATTCTCCGATTCTCGAAACCATCGCGAGCCTCGATTTACCCTAAGGATAGAACCGTCGTGTTTCCATGTCGTAGATCCCGGGCAGAATTTATCGAACACGAGCGTTATTGATATTTGATTACTGGAATTACTCAAGCATTCCACGAAGACAGAATTCCACTTTCTTGCAACGAATTATTAACGCTACGGGGTTGCCTCAAAGAAATCGAACAGGAATATTCTGCGATGTTTTCCGGCTCGACCATGGAGGATTTATCGGACCGGAATCTTTACTACGTCGCAAGGCGGCGGATAGAAATTCTGACGGGATTTCCGACGAACTTTTATGCCGTCCGAGACGTATCATCGCCGTGGACGCGGGCAATCTGTATGGAACAGATTCATGAAGCTTTTAATCCCGTCCGCGCGACCTAACGAACCATTATGACTCGCGTTCCTTCCTGCGAGAATTCTGCGGCAGCAACAATATGCATTGTTAATGCTTATCATAGTCTCTTTCATGCATTCCAGCGGCATCGAATAAAACAACGCCGCGGCGACGTTGGTATTCCAAAAGACCGCCGGCCATCATCGCGAGGTTCGCAGGAATTATCCTAATACTCCGCGTTCAATTCGCATACTCGCGAAACTGCATTAGACCGTTTTTCATTTCTCGTCGTTCGATTTTTTGTTGAAGATTGTCTTCGTTAATTGTAAGATGCAGAAAATAGCGTGTCAATTACTGTGCCACCCTCTCGTTACTGTGCACTCACAATAATTTTCGTAATATTTCAAAACAAATAAATATATTATTTATTTAAACATATAATTGAAATGTTTTAAGTAGTGCGACATAAATGAAGCCATTTAATTCGTCGAATACCTCGAACGTTACTTTAATGGACACAGTAATTGACACGCTTACTCTAAGTAGACATTTAAATCTCTTTTTTCTTAATTTAATTTATTTAATGTCGCATCTACTTAATAGTAATTAGCGACCATTACTATTAACATGGGATAACATTTATAGTGTAATATATACAATATATTATTGTAGTGTAATATATACAATAGTTTTGCATTACATTTTTACATTATTTTCTTAATCTAGGCTTCTTAAGTTCTTTTATGGTATTCGGCATTTTTTTTTTCTGATATTGTTGTACACTGGAGATTCTATTAGGATGTGCTGAACTGTAAGCTCAGTGTTACAGTTGTTACAAAGTGGCTCATCTGTTTTAGAGAGAGTATGTACTGATGTATTATTTTAGTATGCCGAGTTCATAGTCGAGATTTTACAATTTGCTTTATTGTTGTTAATTACTGCGAGGTTGATACATTTGTTATTACATTTAGGTCTCTTCTTAATAATTACAACAAGTTGACAGTAACGCAATAATATTTTCAATTTGTTTCAGTGTTCTTGCTATTTAGCATTTGATATACTCATTTTTGTCACAAAATCCGATTTAGAAAGGCAGGACGAAAAATGATCTGAGAACAAATTATTGATACCCGTGGCACCAATAAATAATAAATAAAACAATTTAGAAAATAGCCGAGTCGTTGCTAATTTCGAAAATTCGTCGTCTCCGTGAACCAAAAAATGCATTAACCAACGATTTGGAACTCCTTCCGACAACCATTTCGTGAAACACCCGTGGCATTTCGGCAGATTTTGGAAATCTGCCGAATATTGCGCATGCAGACTCTAATCTCGTTACGATGGTGTAATCAAAAAATTTCTACATACAAATTGCACGTTACGCCGCGGAGATAAATCAGTGCGCAGCCATTCCCGTAGCATTTAAATGACATTCTTCGGGAAAGAACGGAATCAACTGTACATTGTTGCGCCGCGGTATAATCATAAATGAACGGGGAAACAAATTAGGCAATGGTCGGCGCGAAATGGCCCCAACCATTAACACAATAGCAACGGAAAACACATCGCCGGGAAACGCGTTCGCCCGACACGGAAATACAATTTTTATCGATCGCCGAGCGCACCGACGCTTTGGAAAATCAATTATTAAGCGACATGCTAGAAAAATGTGTCAGGTCTATCGACAATTCATGACAGAATCGCATTAGGGTTATTATGCTTTTGAAAAAAATATGAACAACAATGCTGGAAGTCAGAATATAGTGGAATTTGTTTAGCGCAGTAAAAAAGTTCGCGTTCTTTGAGCAGAGGACTTTTTTCTGGCTGTTCAGTCGAATTTAAAGTAGCTATAACTCGCCTAAATTATCGTTTTGACGTATTTATTTAGAAAGGGTATCTATAATTCCGATGGGAAACTCTTATTTTGCGCAACAATTTGCTGTCTAAAAATTAAGCATCGTAGCTTCTGATAACATTATGAAATTGACTTTTAAATTTATTGAGGTCGTCGATGAAAAAGTCAACGTTGTTAAAATAAGTGCCAGCCAAAATGGGAATATTGCTGTGGCACACTAACTCGGTGGGTTCTCGTGAAAAATATTCTACCATATTTTGAAAAACATCGATTCGTGAGAAGAAATATTTAGAAAATTAATGATTTTTTCTCAATGAATATTGTTTCTCACACATCGAGTCAGATGAAAGAGAACTGCCCATTCTCTAAAATACGGTACAATCAGTGATTCCATACAGCATCATGCCGGCATTCTCAAGGTTAACCCCTTGAGTGTATTTGACGAATGAGGCTCGTCATGCACTTGTTTTATCTAAGTGCATGATGACGAGTGTAACTCGTTACTCGAGTAAAGACAATATTTAACATGTAGATTCTCGTTCGTTTCAGAACAGTTTGTAACAGTTGCAACATGAGAAATAATTACATTATATAGATGCACTTTGTTCGCTCAAATGGATACACTGCCCAACTATTTTACATTTATTTGCACACTTCTCTCCTATACTTTGAAATTGATTTTCCGGAAATCGCAAGTTAGATAGAAAACTTGTATTTCGCTCAAAAACCCACAGCCTTGTAACAACTTTTGTTGTCAGAATATTTAACGATCATGTAATTGTATTTCTAGAATAATGATATTCAATTTCACATACCTATCAAAAAATGTTGAAGTTACTTCTCCAGAAATTGCAATCCTGATAGGAAATTTTGAATTTCTTCGAAAACCCACAGTCTTACAATGATGATTTTTGCTATCAGAATATTTAAAGATCATTCTTAGAACAATGATATTCAATTTCATACTCCTATCAATAAATGTTGAAGTTACTTTTCCAGAAATTGCAATTCTAATAAAAATCTTTTTATTTGGTCATAAACCCACTGTTTAAAAATGATAATTTTTCCTATCAGGATATTTAAGGATCACGTTACTGCATTCTTAGAACAATGATATTCAATTTCACACTCCCATCAATAAATTTTGAAGTCGACTTTCCAAAAATTGCAATCCTGGTAGAAATTTTTTACTTTACTCAAAAACCCGTAGTTCAAAAATCATAACTTCTGCTATCAGAATATTTAAAGATCACGTTTCCGCATTCTTAGAACAATGATATTCAATTTCACACTTCCATCAATAAATTTTGAAGTCGATTTTCCATAAATTACAATTCAGAAAAAGAACGACTTCTGCTACAAAAACATTCAATGTTCATGCTCCGACATCCTTAAAAGAATTCAATTTAATTTCGCTCTCACTAACAAAATGCTTCGAAATCGCTTTCCTGCAAACTTCTGGATCACACAAGCCTAAAAATATCCAGCTCGAACGATATTCCAAGCTTGAAAACAATTTAAAGCTGTGAATTCGGATCATTTGAAACCATCGGTATTAAATCTGGCCGATTAAGAGTGTTCCTCACAAATCGGATCGGTGGCCCGTCTCGAATGCTAATGACTCTGAAATTGCCAGTTGTCGAAGACGGGTAATAAAATGTCGGAGGTAGGTCAGGGATCGCGCGTGGTCAGACACCGAGATCGAAATTAAAGGATCGAGGATCCAGGGGGGCGACGATGTCGGCACGCTATGCGACTCGATCGGGGGTAGGTGGGGGTGAGAGTTCGCAGGTCGCTCATTCCCGCGTGGGTAGAGCAACCTTCGGCAGTAGTATCGCGGTGACGAGCAGACGCGGTCGCCTCTTCCTCTCTCGCCGATCTCTGCTCTCTTTCGTCGCCTGGTTTCCCCACCTCCCCGACGAACCGTGAATAAAAAATCGCGGTTCCCCTCGATCTCTGTTTTCGTCGTCCTGCTCCCCGGATTCGCGCCTACCCCGGTGATCCGCAGTGACACGAAACATCTTTATCGCCAGGAGGAAACGCCAAGTGGCTTGGAGACCTCGGTAAGTTTCAAGCTGAAAGTTCGTCTCGTCAGTGGCGTGCGGGAAACTGATCGATGGGCTCGATCGTTCCGCGGTGATTGAGATTTCTCGGGGAAACGATCTATTTCTCCTGAAGCCTCGGAAACAGGCTGTCCGATTTTATTTTCTCACTTTGTGGCAGTTGATGCGACTGACAGATCAATCTACTGGATTAATCGGCATTAGGAAAAAAAAAGTGTTCCGTTGAAATTGTAAATGAGATATTTTTTTTAAGGAAGCGATCGCAAGTAGTTCGCCTTGGTTTTTAACGTGGATGATTCAGTTTCGAATGACGACACGGTAGAAAATGATCGCGCCTCGCAACTCGGTACGAATAAATACTGGCTCGCGATTTTATTCCTCATTAATTTCTCGCGCACCATTCCGATCAATTTGTCTGAAAAAAGCCACTCGATATATTAAAGCACTTTCTGCTGCCGAGAATTAATTCAACGCTAAGAATTTATATACGTTCCCATTTAGCTGCAAATAAGCTGATTCCAATAATTGGATGTTGCACTTCGATTCCGCTCCATTCGCGTAACACCGATACCAAACGCTTTTGCGAATAGAACGCGAGGATTAATTTTTAATGTAATAAACCCGCGGATGCTGCGATGTTTATATAAATAATCCACACCGTTGTTGAGGAGTATTTACAGACTGCTCGTTCATAATTACAAGTTCCATCTGTTTCGCGCAAAAATTCGTACCGCAACACAGACGATCACCGCCGAATTAAATGTCCCCGACGCGAATCTCTATTAATTATACCATTTAAAATTGATCGAGCGTGGAAGGGTGAGTTCCGGTTAACAAACGTTAATAATACCTTTGGTCTATCCTTCGTTTTAGCCAGCAAAATTAATTGGTTTAATCCCAAATTTGATGAGATAATTCATTAAGGCATTTTATATTTTCTGCCCCATTGGTAGGCGGACTGCTATGCCGAGATTAAACAATCTCATTACAGACAAAAATCTGTTCAGGAAAATGTGGGACAGTTCATGGGAGCGTGTTCCGTTACTTGAATGCCAAATTCGTATGGCATAAATAATCCGAGCCGGGCAGCGTATGAAATTAATTTATTCAAGTAGCTTCCGAAATAAATCTACTTCCACAAACAAACCTACCTCACTGTTAGACGAATTATTAACCTTTCCCAGGTCTTTGTGTAACTTTGTAGTTACACGTACCGAATTATCGTCGCGCTTACAATGTGGAAAAGCCTTTTGTTCTATTGTTTCTCTTTTATCATCGAGAAGATTTTGCATCATGATTTTCGGAGCTTGCACCGGAATAAATTCATCTTTATTCAAAATTATAAATTCGTCGTTGATTTATCTACATCTAAAGGATGATACTCGGTAGTCTCAAGACACATAAAATTATTTCGAACCCATATAAACAATTCTAACTTCCTAAAATACGTTAAATAATCAGAACTGAAGAACGTGTCAAATTAATTCGTTCTCGCAACGTAATAATTCACTCAACAACGAGACAGGTTTATATAACTTCTTGAAATGGGTTCAACATATTCTGTCTAGGAAAACTTTTTTCCATCACTCCAACGTCAGATCCTATGCGTACAACACAAATAAACCGAGCCGGAGAACGCGGATTTATTCGCGCATTTATTTTGTTACTTGAACGAATTAAATCCTTCTAGTAACATTCGAAATTCATCACATCCACGAAAAACTCTCTGCCCCGCTGTTACGTTATAATTGTTAATATTACTAAATTTGATTACTTTACGCGTTGATTATTTTACAATTTCTTTAGGAAAATTGAAGGATGCTTGCGAATCCAGAGATAAAAATGTCTTCCGAGTTTGAAAACCCGTTCAATTAATTCGTTCAAGCAACACTTAAAATCTGTTTAGAGAAACTTTGTCTCACTGTTAAGCAAATCGTTAATTCTTACGAAATTGTATAGTATTATTAAAATTTCTCCAGACAAATTAAAGGAAGCTTGCGAATTCAGAGATACAAATTTCAGCATTGTCAGATCGCATAAAATATAATTAATCCGAGTTTTAGAACGCATCGAATTAATTCGTTCACGAAACATTCAAAATCTACTTCCACGAAGAACTCTGTCTCACTGTTAGCTTAATCATTAATGTTACTAAATTTTATTAAAATACACGTTACTAAAATGAAGTTCTCGATCATGTTTTCCGCCACATCCTAATGCAGCTTCTCGTACAATATAAACATCCCGAATCCGAAAGCGGATGAAATTAATTTCTGCACGTAATATTCGATATAAATCGACTCGCCCGAATAAATCACTGGGAAAAAAATCGATGTCGAAGAGGCAGAGATAAATCGATCTATCCCGTAGCCGAAATTGTACGCCGCAGGGTGTCGGAAAATGGCGTATCCATCGTCGAAATGACGGATTATCCTTGACGGCTGAAAATCTAGGCGTAACGGAGCGCGTAGCCGCACTGGTAGCTCGTGTGTTTGACTTCCGATGCTCGATATTGCTTCCTCGGGTGCTCACCTTGCCAGTCGGCGCGCAAATATTGATAGTACAGCCAGCTCGGCTCGGCGCGTAGGCCTTCTCTTCCGATAGCGCGAACTTTCGCGCGCGACTTAGCCGACGCGGCGCGTTGTACACGTTGTTACGGGTGCCGCGACACGGGTCTCTGTTCGTCTATTAACAGGCTTTAAGGACGTCGCGCTAAATCCCGGGTCCATCGAAATTGCAGGATCGGTCGGGCCACCTAATGCGATTGCTTTTAATTGGCACGGCCGATTTAACGGCGCTCCGGCACGCCAACGTTCGAATCAGTTCGCGTAGTTTTGGCTGCCTTCGCTCGGTGCATTTAAATAGTATGCAAATCGGCACGCTGCAGGGCTATAAGGCCAAAGGACTGTTGTCGTTGCAACGGTACAACCTGGCCACCGAACGTTGTAACAATGCTGGACGGATCGCATGAAATTCGCAACTTCTGAACTACTTCGTCCTCGACGCGAGATCTTCGACACGAAAACTCGCTAATATCGATGCTAGTTGTTCGACTGTCACGTCGATTATCGCAAAAATTGCACATAATTGAAGTACAATAATTTCCCTAATTGAACCAGAACAATTTAAAAGAATGGTCAAATTACAATAATTTGAGAGTATCGATGTAATAGTGTGAACTTGTTAATATTAAAAGAAAAATTGATTGTAAAGCTGGCAACTGTCTCTCACAGTAGATGAAACTTTATATTTTGCATCAAGATTCGCAGACTAATAATAACGCTCATATTTAGTAGATTATGTGTGAAATCTTCATGACAAGTTAATAATTTACTTAATAGATCGAGGCAATTTTTGTATATCTCGTATATCTCGATTTATTTTCAATTCTAGATTTTGAGACGAAAGAATTAAATTTTGTTACGACTTCAAAGAAATTTAAAGTAGATTATTATAGTGCAAGGGATTAATTAATAACAAAACTAGCAAACCAATCAAAACGATCGCTTCCTGATTATTTCTTTCGCATTCGTTGAAATTGTAAAAGTGTTTGCGTAAGAAATTCTGTAAGAAACTTTGTTGCTCGAGCATATTAGATGTCGAGTGAAGTTTGAATAAATCCAATCTTGTTATTGTTACAAAACAATCTTAACTATGTTACGAAAATAATGACTGAGAAGTTCAAATTTATAATATTAATTATTCTTTACAATTCTCTTGTATTTCGTAGATCGCAAAATTTGACACACACGATCCAACTGTTGAAAAATGAACTTTTTTAAAACAAATGATTACATCGTTCAATTAAGCGTTGGATCGAGTTAACATTTTTTTTTTAACAGGTTGCCTTGACAATCGTACAAAATTACAAGAATTATTTATGTCGCGTCACGTAACAAAGCTTGATTAGCTTAGTTTAGCAGATCTTAATCATTTGAGCATTGAAGAAATTTTTTTTAGATGCAGAACAACATGCGCATCTTTATTGTTTGGAGAAAGAGTCACGGTTTTTAAAAAACCTACTGAAAGCACGTTAGTTTTTCAAGCCCCACCGATTTGTATTTATTTTTAACACTAAACCTACCGCGGTCAAAGTGACCGCTTTCTTATTTTGCAATTCTGCAAAGTTTCGAGACTCCTTCGTGGAAAACGCTTGAATAAGTTTTTATTATTAGAGCAAGTTTTATAATAAAAACTTCACAAATTCGAAATAAATTCGGTCTTCTCACTTTTGTGAAGCAGTACACGCCAGTTAGTATTACTGCTCGGTAGGTTTAGTGTTAATAACGAGATAAAGCATGTCTCAAACAAACCGGAGAAAAATAAACGCATTTACAGCTAAATCTCTAAACTGCAGATTTACCGAAACCACAAATAAAATGCAAGAATTGATTTATAACGCAGGGTAAATATTTAAAATGCGGCGGAGGTAAAAGAACAACAAACAGTACAGCGGTTCACAAACATCTAACTGTTTTTCTACGTTTTCCAAGGTAACTCAAGGTAACTGAACGAAGCTTGGGTCTAAGTTGATCCAGACGTGAGCTGAAGTTCTCGGAGGATTATCAGATAAGTCTATCGGATGAGAAATGAATATGTTGTGACAGTGGAAGTGTCTTCTCCAAAAAGAACAAAGTCTCAAGGAAAAGTTGACGATATAATAGACGGTTTCTGTAGACATGATATTAATAATATTTAACACCAGGTTTACGTAGTATTAAAACTTTTCTCTTCATAAAAGCATGTATTCATTCGAATTTTGAACGATTTATATTATAATATTTGTTCCAAGGAGCATTAATTTATTGAATAAACTCCTGACAAATGCATCGTTTCAATTTCAATAATCGTAAATTAAACAATTTAAAACCCGTCAGTGATGGGTCCCGTGAGCCTACTGTTAATTAACAATATCACGTTAATATTAAGGATGAGTATTTTTTTGTTAGACAATTAGCTTCTCTTCTACTATCGTCGCTCGCGTGCAGCTGCTTATATTT